TAAATAAACAAGTCAAAACTAATTTTGTGTTAACACAATGTGTAATTGGTTTCAAAATATCGTTTATACATACTCAAAGATGTCTATCGTATGAGCTCAAATTGGTTCTTGGTGTTATAGGATGTGAGATTATATGAGGTTGTAGGACATTAATAATTTTTTTTAAAAAGTACTTCCATCAATTTGACTGAAACTATCCCTGAGCTGAAACATAAGTGTCTCTGATTCCTCTTTCCACAATCATGTTTTATTCGAATGGATCGTGTTTGACATTTTACTGGAACAGATTGCTGATGCTTTTCTAATGCAATTTACTTCGTAGTAGATAACAGTATTAGGTAAGCTGCCAATCACTAAGTGCCCAAGAAGGATGTAAGAAAGTATATTTTATATTTATATAAAAACATTAGTAAAAAAGTTCTACATTTGTGTGTATGTTACACAAACATATAGAGATATAAAAACACACAAACCCATTATACATAAATGGATTTGTAAATTTTGTTCTTATATACAGTTTGATAGAAAAAATGCCTCCAATTTTAGAAAAGTGCTCGTTTTGGGGATGAAATGAATGAAGAGTCTAAGAGTGAACTTCACTCCAGATCTTATGTCATGGTCCAGAGGGGGGAAAGTCCTATTATGGAAATGATCTGAAAACGATGGGAGAAGAATAAATGAAGATCCAAGAATTGCCTAAATCGACATCCCCATTCCAGTAATAATATAGTAAAGTAACAAAAAGAATCATAAAGTTGAAGCGAATGAGTGAATCATGCACGAAAGAAGATAATACCTTTCAACTGGAGGCGAAGGTGGTGTCCAGCTTCAAGTAAGAAAGTTATTTGTATGATCAAATTGTGAGTGCGTAGACGTGCAGTCGTCGATAAGATCTTATGTAGTTCAGGAAAATGGGCAATGTAGGTGGTTCGATATTACATTTAAACGAGATGGTTAGAGATTTTGAAAAATTGCTTTTTTAATCAGATGAGGAGAAGTGATCAAATAAAAGTTGATAATGTTTGAGAAAAAATGATTTTGAAAAGTAAAAGTTGGTGATATTTGGTAAAATAAGCGTTTTTTGTATAATAGAAAAAGTAAAAGCACTTTTGACACGAAAGCCAGAAAAATAAAAGTTGTAGTGTTTGGTAAAAGAAGTGCTTTTTTAAAGCCAAAAGCCGAGAAGTGCTTTTTTTAAAGCGTTTGCAAACCAACCCTAAGGCTGATTGTAATGGAGGGGTGAAAACCCGAAATGTGAGGTTTTCACCCAAAAAACTACTGCAACCCAGACTTTTTTTTGTATAGGGAGGTCTCATTCAGAATATGGGAAACTGATGGGAGGGATTTCTGGGCGGTGCATTGACTCCCTACTTGGAGCTGACATGCGCAGTGGGCCATCATCCCAGCTAGTCGGCTGAATTCCACCGGAGGAAATGTGAGATCTAGATTTGTGCGTGTGCTTCCACTTGCTTTAGTGTGGCTAGTGGGAATAAAAAGCTACATTGAATAATTCAACTTGGGAGTAATTGATTGTTGGTACTTCAAATTTAAACATGTGTTTCAATCGATTTAAATTTATTATTTAACAAGTTCATAGTATATAAAATGAAAAATTAATAATATAGAAATATACAAAACATTTAATAGTTTTAAATTTATTTCAAATTGAACTCATGTACGCATTTTTCATACTTACTAAAAAATTAATTCAAATTTTTAACTTTTTTACATCGGAATGTTTGAGTTTTTAAACAATAATTATTGGTAAAAGTAAAATTAACACATAAATGATGTGTAAAAAAATAACTAAGGATCTATGCATTTAATTAAAAAAATGTGTTGAGTAGATATATTGACGGTGTTGGGTTGTAGGGAAAAACTGAATTCACTGGGTGAATCCGTATAAACTGGAGGGGAATTAGATTTATTGACGGGTTTGGGTTGCGGTTAGCCTAAGCAGCTCTTTTATGCTTATAAGTCAAACTTTTTTTTACCAAATACATAACTTTTACTTTCGCGCTGAATTGTGTAATAAGCAGTAAGCTAGGTTGGGGTTAGTTTTCTGACTGTATTGACTGAAGTTACTGTAAATTACCATTTTAACCATTTCAACATATAATTTTTTCTTTATTTTAATTATTAATAAAATATATTTTAATTTTTTCCCCCTGAAATCAACAGAATCGGCCAATGCAGCCACTTCCGCCAGAACTTCATAAATTTCATCAGAATCGGCCAAATATGCCGATTTTCGTGCTACCAAACAGGCTCTACACCATTAGATTTATTTTTGACGAAATTTTATAAGAATAAAATCACATACAAGAGACATCTATCACACCATTTCAGACTTGATTAGACCATAATAGATCACATTAGAAAATTATAGCTCAACTAAAAACATCCTAATTATAATTTTTAATTATTAATACTTCTCATCAATCTCATGTTCTTAAAAAAGTTCTTAATTACATATCATGAGTATTAAACTAGTAAAGAGTAGTAGTTGCGGGCATATAAGTTTTTGATTCGGTGTTAACAATTTTTGGTTCGGTTTAGTTTGAGAGGGATTAGAAGAATGATTATCAAACAAAAATCATGCTATCTTTCAGTTAGATTTGGTTTAGTTTGGTTTGATTCTAATTTTTATTTTTTTGGTAATGCATGAAGGTTTTTGTTTAACTGAATTTCTTTAGTTCAGTTTGATTTTTCTTGATTTTGGTACGGTTCCATTTAGTGCGTTTTGGAAGAAATACTACCACTCAAACCAAATTGCATATCCATGATTATTCAATTTCGCTTCGGTTTATATTTAATTCAGTTTGGTACGGTTCAATTTAACCAAACTGTTTTGTCCACCCCTAGTGAAGAGTATTAGAAATACGAAGTATTTTGAGTTATGGAGGTTCATAGGGATACAAAATACTAGTATTACGTAGTATTGAAAGTTACCGTGCCTAGTGGGAGGTCTCGAGTTCGAATCCAGCTAGGCACACAAGGGTTGGAAACTCAAGAAGTGAGTTTCAACCCTGATTACTCCAGGCTCCCCCCAGCCCCCTCCCCTAGACCCCCTGGAGTAAAAAAAAGTAGTATTGAAAGTTACATGTTGTATTCATGTGACATGGCAAATTTTGTCATACATACAAATGTAGCTTTAAATGTGGATACTTTACCAAATTTCTTTAATATTTGCTCATCTAGAAAGTACATATTAGACATATTTCATTAAACTTCTAATTTCTTCATGTTCATTTTACATTCAATACAATACTCTTTTTTTGTCATAAATACTCATTTGAAAATAACACATGCTCAGTTTGTACTTGAAAAGTATTAATTTCAATTGGGAAAATTCCCGAAATAGGACTAAAAAAGTTTGAAAATTCCAAAATAGGGCCGTCATGTTTTTATTCCCAAAATAGGAGTAATTACTGCCAAGTTTGGAAAATACTGCCATCTTTAAAGCCTGGTACTGCCAAAACATGACAGTAATTAGTCCTATTTTGGGAATAAAAACATGACAGTCCTATTTTGGAATTTTCAAACGTTTTTAGTCCTATTTAGGGTAATTTCCCATTTCAATTTTGTACCATGCAATTCATAATATCGTTTTCTTTTGTTTTTCTTTTTAATTTTTTTTTGTTTGCAATTCATAATATCGGTATCCTATTATACATTTACTATTTTACTTCTTTAAAATGTTTTTTTATCAATACTCGATTTATTTTAGTAAAGATTTCTTGAATAGGACTAAATACAAATATTACCTTCATCAAACAAAATTATCCTTCCGTTCCATTGAACTTTGCCAACTTTCCCTTATTGGTTGTCTAAAAAAACTTTGCTACTTTCCTAATAAAGCAACTAATTTGTGGTTCTATACATTTATCTGTCCTCTGCACAAATTTCAATCATACAATTTTTAGTTTTCTTATTTCCCACCTACTTTGCACTTGGCAAAGTCCACCCGGACGGAGGTAGTATATTATTTCAAAATAGGACTAATTCGATCTCAAAGATTTTTAACTACTTTGTGTTCTCTCATTTAGACCAAATAATTCATGTCTCGAGAATAACTATTATTAATCCCATTTGTATATTTTCCCCGCATTTTACTTTTACTCTCAACAAATTTTCTTTTTATCAAATTTAGTAAATCAGAAAATACTTATTTGCGTCGTCAAAGGAACTTGCAACATGTCAAATATACTCAAATCGGTTTACCTTGGTCACAAATTTAAAGAATCCTTTGAACAAATTATAAGGATATTTTTAAATGAACTATAATTTTCTAGTCTGGTCTATTTTGTCTGTTTAAGGGGAAATGATTGACAATAGGAGTAAAGCTTTCTGTATGTACTCAAATAGGAGTTTAAGTATAGTAACTCCTAAATATGACTGACTGGATTTTTACTCCGTACTTTGTTTTTAAAATTTTCCCTGTCTAACCTTACATTTTCATCTCACGACAGATGACAATCCTTATCTCTCATCCACAACCTCGCCAAACCCTCTCTCCTTCCTCCACAGCTAAACAAGGCAGTTTCAAGGTCCAGTATCGTACAAAACAATGGGGAAATGAGATGCAGTGACATTGCAGAGTTTCAAGGTCCCGTATTGTACAAAACAATGAGGAAATGAGATGCAGTGACATTGCAGATGCTGAAAAAGCAGATAAGATATGGTGACACAGCAGCACGGCGGCGGCTTGACAGAGAATTGAAGACGCCACAACGTGACAGTTGCGGCGGGAGCCCCCCCCCCGCTCCTCCTCCGCCATTCAATTCACATAAGATTATTAATTAATATGTGTGATACTATTTTATTTTAATTAACCTATATATATATATATTTGCTTCTGATCAAATGCGAGTTTATCCTTACCATAAAAAGTAAGAAAAAATCTATTACATAAGATTTATGATCTAATGGATCTAAATATGTCAACCATGTAATAAATTTGATAAAAAAAACGGGTGGCACAATTGTAATTAAGTGAAAAAAACCGTTATTTAATAAAGAACATTGTTTAAAGGTAATTATGCACGGTTCATGACAATAAGTGTAGTCATTCGCAATTTCCACGTGAACATCATTTTTTATTGAAACCAAACCATATAGCTAAAGTACAAAAAGTCAAGGTAAAATAAAGGAAATTCAAGAATAGTTGATTATTTGCCAACAGGTGAAACTAAGCATATGTAGCAAAGTACATATATAGTATTTATGTAGATTGGAACCATTTGCAGAAGTTATGGAGGGTTTCCCCATCAGCTCTGTAATGGTTTTGGATGAAAAGGAGCATATCTGACCACATGAAGTTCGGGTACAATCTCGGCTTCTCACTTGTAATAAGATCTTCAGGTGCTACTATAACTTTATCTTCTTTAGGGGACACAAAGAATGCAAGGGTTAATCTGTTTTGGTGATTGTTCACCACTGCCCGATGCAGACAACTCTTAAATATATTGTTTGTGAATGCCTGTATTAAACTTTTATGTGATCAATACAGCATTCAGAACACGTGATAAAAGATTATATTTAAGATAACGGTCAAAGTAATCTTTGTATGCAGAAAGATCTTAACAAGAACTATTACTTCTTACGATTATCTCAAATGACGAACACGATAAAAGGCCAGGGTAGTTCATGACTTTATATACACAAGCTTGTTTTGATGAAACTAGAGATCATGAATCACTTCTACTTCTTTTATCTCTTCGCTAGAATCAGCATTTCAAAATATTGATTAGCTTCAAGAAATAAGCTAAGGAAGAGAAATTGAGATGTATGTACACCTTTTTACACCTATATTTAGGTTAATACAAAATAAAGAGTACTTTTTTTTTGTTTTACTCAATTATTACATCATTCTCAACTATGCCATGCACATGAGTTTCTTTCATAGAATCATACCTATGGTTTTCCTTCTACATTGTATGTCATCGTGCGTTACTTCACTACTTTCCTTCTATCATCAATGCCCATGTTTAAATATATAAATAATGGCTACAAATTTTATGCAATCTATTTTACTGTAAATAATGATATCTCCCACTAACATAACTATTTCTAAATATGAATATATGAATAAGTAAAAGTATGTATGCTTATACTTTGTATAATATGTAGACATGTAGTATAAATATATGCGTATGCGTAGGCGTATGTGTATAGGTATGTGTATGTGAATGGGCATGTGTATGGGCATGGGTATGTGTATGGGTATGGATATGTGTATGCCTATGTGTATGTGTGTGTGTATGGGTATGCTTATGCGTATGCATATGGGTATGCATATGCGTATGTAAAAATCAACTTAATTTTTTTTTAAATATATAACTAATATTAATATTAATGTGAAGCGAGGGAGCCAAAGAGGAGATAAAAAGGTGAGGGAAGTTGTAAAAAAGATGAATAAATATGTGTATTTACGTCTTGTCGCAAAGGAAAGTGATGGTAGTAGAAGCTAACGAACAAATTGATTAACTAAAGGAAAGAATCCCGTAAAGAGGAATAAAGCATGTTAGTAGTCCTATTTTCTCAATAGGACCAACATTGATTGTTTTCTTCTTAAAGTAAGACATGTTCACTCTTGAAATAAGTTCAATTTTCATCATTGTATTCTTTATTCATATTTTGAACATGTATTCAACTAAAATGTCATGTCTAACAGGGATCTATGTTCTTTCGAGAAAGATGAATGACATGATGATGATTATGATGGTGCTAAATCAACGACATTGAATGCCTAGTCTAGTTAGTTACCTGGAAGGTGTCACCAATGGCAATTACGAGTGCATCATTTCTAGGCCTCACAAGCTTCCATTTGGTGTCCGCAAACACTTGAAGACCTGCAACATGGTGTTGATGAAGTATTGTAATGGAGTTTGTGTCACGATGAGGACCTGTCCCTAGGGTTAGCTCTGGTTTTTGGCAAGGTGGATAGAAGTTGCATCTCATTGTGGAAAATCCCTCCTCAAAATAGTCCTTGTAGTATGATGGATTCACACCCAGACTGGTCCCCAATATCTCGATTATTATCATCGACAACTCCTTCATTGCCTCACAATATTTCTGGAACACCAACCTGTACCACCATAACATTTTATTGTTACTTCAAAGTGTTGTATTTAAATAGTGTCACTTATTCCATACGGACTATTATGCATGTTATCATCCAATTAATTTAAGGTATTTTCTATTGGTCAATATTTTGTTAGTATGATCTATTTAGTCTCGCTATTTAACACGTACAAGTGTATATATAGACACACACACACACATGAATAGTTCGATTTGATTTGATTTGATTTGATTTATTAAAGTTTAATTAACCTTAATAAATTTGGACTTGACAAAAAAATAAAATAAATCTACGGGGGCATGTCTAAGCATATAAATGCAATTTTATGTGTCTGAATTTTATAATACTTGAAAATTTAGATCCTGTTTGGTAACATAGAAATTGATTGAATCGGATGCATATTGTGAAATTGATGAAGTTCTGACAGAAGCGACTGAATATGCTGGATCCGCTGAATTATGGAAAAAATATATTTAAAATATACGAAGTATTTTATTAAGAAAATAAAGAAAAAATATAAGGAAAAATAACTAAAAAATTTCTCTACAGTAACTTCAGCAAAAAATAAGCAAAAATAACTATAATCTTACTTATTTTGATTATTATACAACATTGTGCGAAATCATACAATATGTGTCTGTTGAAAAATTTTATTGATAAGGCTGATGAATCGAAAACATGATCATCAAATATGCCTTAAAGTCTTAAACCCCACGCATTCAGTAAGTATGGTTATAAAAAAAGTTTCAAAATTAGAGTTCAATATGATCAAATGAGGATTTTTTTGAAAGGATCAAATGAGGATATATTGTGTAACTTTTAACTATTTTTTTTAATACTATCATATTATTTAAAAATAAATAATAGAAAAAATGTGAATATTAATCACAACATACAACCGTCATTGTAATGCCATGTGTTAAAAGCATATTCCATATGTTCTTCTACGGACGAAAATAAGTCGCATATATTGTATTTCTGGAAAGGGACTGCCGGGTTGGGCACGAAACCCAAATTTGACATAAGTAGTACATGTAGAACTGTTTTTAATTAAGTGCTTTTTCCATTATATTCTTTTTAATTGTTTTTAACATTATTATTTTTATGTTTGTTAACGCATGACTTTGATATTTATTATATTTAATTTTTTATTAGTAAAAAAAAAAATAAAAATTAGATATGAAAATTTATAATGAGAATAATGCAAGAATATTTTTCAAAAAAAATAACTCGCATTCTTCTAAAAAAACGATTCTCATACATTAATACATAAAATATATTCAAAGTAGAATATGTAAATAGTGTAAAAAATTCTGTGTTGCAACTACAAAGAAATAGGAGTCCGTCCACTGTACAACTGGCTGTACGGTGAGCACGGTACAGCTGGTGGCATTTTTGTAATATAATGTGAAAACTGAAAATCACGGTTTCTGCTAACTGAGTATTAGTGTACTGATAATGATCAATAGTCCAATTTTAATGAGTATTAAGAGTCTAATAATGAGTACCATGTTATTACAAGAAAGTTGATATCACAACTAAAATAACGGTGACATTTTCGTAATTTTAGTAAAAATCGCGGTTTTCGTTATATGAGCATTAATACACTATTGATGAGCACCAGACGTATGCTACTGAGTATTGAGAGTCGAATAATGAGTATTGTGATATCAATCTCATATATTGTAATTCACTTTCTTTTTCTTATTTTATCTTTTATAAAAACTCATTAAATTATATCTATAATCAACTTCTATAAACTTCAATATGCCAATTTAATGTAGTATGATACTTTTGAAATATGCATTGATGTGTCATTTTAAAATGAGCATATATTAGTATCAAATGAGCATACACAACTTTCAAAATGTGCAAAAATATGAAAATCGTAAGCTTTGTTAGTTGGACGTCATGACATTTTCATTGACCATCAAACCTCTTATATTGAGATGAAAATAATGATTTTTGTTAAATGTGAATTAATGAACTTTTAATTAGCACTAGACCTGTCTGTTGAGTATTAAGAGTCTAATATTGAGCATCATAATCTCTGCTTCATATCTTCTAATTCATTTTTTTCTTTTATAGAAATTTATGTCTACAATCAATTCCTATGAAGTTCAATATGTGAATCTAATATTTATGATACTTTTGAAATATACATTGATATGACATTTTTTAAATGAGTATACATCAGTACGGATTGAGCATATGTAGCTTACAAAATAAGCATTAATATAAAAATAATAATAAACATTTTTAGTTGAGCATCAAGACATATTTCATTAAGCATTAAACATCCTCTATTGAATATTAGAAGCGTGCAATTGAGTACTGATTGAGCATTCATAAATTATAAAATCAACATTAGTATGAAAGTCATAAGTTTTTTTAATTGAGTGAGCATCAAGACATTTTCATTGAACATCAAATTTCCTCTATTAAGTAATAGAAACATGCAATTAAATATCACTGTCTGTTCTCTCATATCTGTAATTAACAAAATGAGATAGCTTTAAAATAAAAATAATTTGTAGTATTTTGTTCTTGAATTACAAATGAATATTGTGTTGTTTTTATGATATTTGTTACTCATGCACATTTATTTTGCACTATACTCATTGTAGTATAACGCAAAACTCATATTAGTAATTAGCACAAACTATTTAATAAAATAACAAGTAGTCATCTTAAAATTAAAAACAGAAGAACAAAACATTAATACTTAAAATGTTTTATAATGCAGAAATTAAAAACAAAATTAGAAGTTTGATTGGAAAAACAAGAAAAAACAAAATTGAACATTATCAATATTTTAGATTAGGGAAAAGGGTCAGATAGGTCTCGAACTTACATAAAAAGATCAAATAAGTCTTTATATAGGAGGCTCTATCCGGCGTCTCCATTTGGGGCGGTTCCCAGTGGAATTTTTTGATAAAATTTTTTGAGCATCTTATTAATTAAGTCTAGTTTACTCATAGCAAATTTCAGATAAAACTTCAATCGGGAAGGCATTCAAATGAATTTTTAAAGATAACTACGCTTTTAACTGTGCAGTTATCTTCAAGAATTCATTTGAATGCCTTTCCGATTGAATTGGTAGCTGAAATTTGGTATGAGTAAACTAGACTTAATGAATAAGATTCGGGAACTGTCCCAAATGATGATGTCCGGACAGAATCTCATATATAAGGGCTTATTTGATCTTTTTATGTAATTTCGAGGGCCTATTTGACCCTTAGATTATACATTTGCATTATAATTGAATAAAAAATCAAAGCATGTTAAACAAAAAATAAAGAAAAGAAATAACTAAAACAAGAAAACAACAAAAACTGAAAACAATGAAAAATGAAAAGCCACCAAAAAGTGAAAAGTAAGAAACCAAAGTGAAAAACAACCAAAAGAAAAGAGAAAAGCAAAAAGAAAAAAAAACACGGAGTAAAGCCATAGTGCGTGAGAGTATTTCACTATTTCCCGGGCTTGGCTCTGGTAATCCATAGCAACCATCCGCGAATAATAAAGAAAATCGGCGAAAGAGCAATGAGGGAAAAGAAAAGCAGCAGCACGCATTAACCTAACCTTTACCCTACAACTTGGATTTAATTACAAAAAATTTTGGCTGTACAGTATATATTACCCAGAAATAGAGGATAATACTTTGTTTGTGAAAGGAATTATGATTTCAATCTTTATACGATATATTCAACTTCTGAATACTCCATACTAAATTAAATTAATATATGATTTCAAATGTGTAATTTTTTTTTTTTAAATTCAAATGTGTATTATATACTCATTTGAAATGTTTGTTATGTTATAGTTTGACACAATTTCAGGAAAAAAGTAACAGATGTACCGAATAGTGTAGAAAAATTAGGAAAGATGGTGGAAAAATATATATAAAAGAAAAGATAAAATGAAAAGAAAAACAAGTATGATGAGCAATTGAATATGTAGCTAAAATCAAAACATATCCCATCAAACATTTCAATGTCCTGGAAGTACTACATATGTTTTAAAAAAGAATAATAATCATGTTACAATAGAATTAATACAAGAATTTTTCCAAATCATTACTAAAATAATACAAAGTATTTAATAATTTGTTAACAGGTTCGAATCTCATCTCAGTTCAAGGATGTTGGTATTAACATTGAGCAAATTTATACTATATAGGTATGAAAGAATTGGACAAAAAAAAGTATTAGTGTATTCGTGTTTATTTTATCAATACTAGTACTACTAATAATTACGTGGTAATTATTGATTTTATCAAGAACGTCAATTGAATATTTTTCAAAATAAATTTTACTTCTGCAATACTTTTGAAAAATACATTTATAATTTAGGAAAGGAGATAGTTAATATTTACACCACATACAATACTACACAATATTCAAATTACGATAGTATAGTACTCGTTGGAATGTTCCGGGTTTGACCTACACACATATTAACTTACCAGAGGTAAATTTTACTGTGTTGACACTGTTTGGACACTGTTTGACACTGTTTGACATTGTTTTACACTGTTTGACAGTGTTTTGATGGAGTATAATTTTCCATATAGGGAAATGAGAACTTTTTTTTGGGACATACAAAAAAGGAAAGCGGAAGTGTTTCCTATGAAAAACTATGTACTTACCCTATATGCTCATCACTCGTTCCCAATGAAGATCTGAAGAACTCGACCGGACCGCAGCATCTCTCATGGAACCCCACCGTCAACGTCTCCTTCCACGGCAGCTTCGAAGTGAAGCGTTCGGCAAGGGCACTCGAATAGCCGGAAGTGCTGCCCGCTTTCCTCTCGGCCTTAGCTTTTTCAGCAACGGGCAGCTCAAAGAAGGCCACTGCACAATCGCGGGCCGCACGAATGAGCTCAATGTCAACGCCATGGTTGACCACTTGGAACAACCCGTGGCTCACGCAAGCCGCTCGAACCATCTCGGTGGCGGTTTTCGCCCGATCGCCGCCGCTGAAGTAGCTCTCTAGGTCGATTAACGGCTCGTTAAGGTCGTCTTCGGCGCGTGCTAAATCTTCCTCGGGCCAAACGAATTGTTTGGTTATGTCAATAAGGTTGCCTTTGTGTTGGGGTGTAGTAGAAGAAGAGAGTTTAGTCTGTGAATCCATGGAGAAACACTGTCTATAGACACTGTTGGAAAGAATAAAATGGAAGGAGAAGTGAGGTAGAAACAAACTAGCCAGCTCTTTTGAGTAATGCACTATATATAATGGTTGAGCCACTCTAGTGCAATTTCATTATTCGAATTGGGAAGACAAAAAAACAGGGAAGACATAGACAATGTGTTGGAGAAAGCCCATGAACGCCACGGAGCACCGAAATATGAAGAGATGATGTGATTTTTAAGAAAAGTAAACTATAGTTGATAATTATTTTTTTTTGAAGAAATAGTTGATAATTTATTGATAACATAATAATAATGTAAGAATGATTTAGAATTACATAAACGCTATCAAATTTGGTATGGAACAATATCAATGACACGGTTCAAAATGAGAAGAGAGAATAATCTTGGTGGGGAGTAATAAAATAGATTAAAATAAATAAATAAATAAATAAATAAATAAGCATGACAACGATCGAGATCACAGGTGACCATTGATGCCCATGGTTGTGATTAGGAAAAAGTCAAGACAATGGTTGGTTATGTACATTGGCACAATGGTGCGGTGGCTCATAAAGTCGACCTCATGATATGAGTAGATTGTAACATTTCACAACTTTTTGTTACGTGACTTTGTCAGTGACGTCAACCATAGATATTATTATACAGAGTAATACTTTCGTTCAATAAAAAAATAGATTCTATGGTACCTTCAGGTACCACATCTTTGTCTACATAGACCAATAGGAATGATGCAATTGAATTAATTAAATCTAAATTAAAAGAAATAGAATGATTTAAACCAATCAAATGCATGGTAGGTACGGTACCCCCAACTTTTAAAATGGTACCGGAGTTGTCACCAAAAAAGTATCTTCGTTCTTTGAACAACAATATTGGATGTTTTGCACTATTTATATTTTATTTTGGATAGTATTATATTTTGATTATATTTTATTTATTGATGTATTATAAATTAAACTTTGTCAAATTTGGTATAGACAGATCCGAAAAGAAAATAAGGAATAATTTTAATGAGAAAAAGGAGAAATAATATAGATTAAAATAAATAAATACATAAATGATTGAGATCACGGGTATGATGCCCATAATTTTGATTAGGAAGAAGTCAAGACAATGATTAATTATGTACGTTGGCATGATGGTGCGGTGGCTCATATACTCTACCATATATACTATCATAACTTTTGCCACTTTTGGTCCCCCGACTTTAGTGTTAGTTACACTTTTGGTACTCAACTTTCAATTATTCCATTTTAAGTGTTCAACTATTTTGTGATAGGCATTTTTAGTCCCTGACTTCAAAGTTTTCCACATTTAGTCCCTTAAGTATTAGGAAAAATTGAAAATAATAATCCCAACTATTGCCGGTCCGCTGAAAATAATCCCAACTATTGATTATTTTTGTATAATCCCAACTATATCAACTATCCGCCAATAATGGTCCATGACCATATATTACCTCTATAAAAAGTGAATTTTAAATAGAAATTAAATGTAAAAATTACAAGTTGAGATTATTTATAGGGATTACTTCTTATATCTCATCTCATCCACTTTAGAAACTACAAGAATTTATTCATAGGGACCATTATTGGCGGAAGGTCCCTAAAGTTGGGATTATTCTGTAATAATCAATAGTTGGGATTATTATGAGCAGACCGCCAATAGTTGGGATTATTACTGTCAATTTTTCCTAAGTATTATCAAATTGACACTTTTAGTCTTTTCACTATGATTTTGATACAATAAATGAAAGACTAAAAATGTCACTCGTATATTAGTTGAAGGACCAAAAATGTCACCTTTATGAAAGTCGGAGGACTAAATATGGAAAATTTCAAAGACGAGGACCAAAAGTGTCTTTCGCACAATAGTCGAAGGACTAAAAGTGGAAAAGATCAAAGTTAAGTACCAAAAGTGTCAGTTACATAATAGTCGGAGGACTAAAAATGGCAAAAACTCTATACTATCATATTAATGAATTAGTAATATACTTCTATAAGAACATCTCTCATGCTAAAATGTGCATAGTGCATATGTGACATTAGAGATAGTCACACAAATATTAGCAAATAAATTATATCTCTCCTTATTTGAATGTTTTATACAATTTTGATAAGTTTTTCTGAACAATATCAAGAGGACCGTCTAAATGTTGACATTTCCGTTGACATTGCAGAGAAAAACTTACCAAAATAGTATAAAATGATTCAAATACAAAGAGAGGTAATTTATTTGCTAATGTTTATGTGGCTATCTCTCATGCCACATGTGCACCGTGAACATTGTAGCATTAGAGATGTTCTAAAGAAGCAAGGATCTCGAATTGACAAAATGTCCGGTTAGTAATCCCGAGTAATTATTGGTGTTCATGTCTACTTGTAGATGGACACGTGGCAGGAGTGGAGCTAGAGTACTGGGTCAAACTGCTCGGTATAAAAAAATTTTGAAAAAAAAAACAAATTACACGATATTTTTACATTAAAGGTAAAGACGTTTTATAAATTTGGGGTGCATCGAAAACTATGTTGGCCCTTCTCTAGCTCAGCCCTTGGACACGTCTATATGTTTTACCTGTGTCACATATAACTTATAGTCTTTCGATACTCATAAATGTACAAACATTTATCTTTAAAAAAAAAGTAAAAAACATGTACAAATGATTGTGTACAAATATAATTTTCAAATAAATTGTTGAGGTTTATTCCTTCAATCCTTGGACCCAACACGTAAGCCCAAAGATTTCGAGTGGAGTGAGTGTATGGTTATCTAGCCCAACAACTATTAGATGGATCAGGAAACAAGAGTAATAGCAGGCAATGTAAATAGGTATTATTAACTTCGTAATAACTCCCCTAAGTACAATCTACTTGCTAAAAAAGGCACGTCGGCCGTTCGTCTTACAAGGCAGTTAGAGACGCTGCGAGTAAGAGTGCTGAAGCTAGTATGCTAAGAATAGAAGGTTGCCAACCCTTTACAATGAAATAAATGCTTCTATTTATACCCGCCAATGGGCAGGTGGCTGTACTGACGTGGCAGCCTGTGGACCGCTGGTGTCCCAACTACCAAATCTTTAGCATTAAATGCACTTCCCGCCAGAGTCTAGGTTTCCCGCCGGATCAGTGGGGACGTTCGTCCACCCGGGAAGTGAGTTGGATTGCTCCAAGTGACCCTTGAGGGATATTGGCTGTTCGTCTCCTGGCCTTGATAGATACTCACCATGTGCACTGGGTTTTCTCCGATGACTACAGGCTTGCTTTGGGGACGTTCGTCGCCATCCCTGGTGGCCCGTGGCTCTGCTCCTTGTCCCTGCATAGACGTTCGTCGGAATGAGCTGCTGGGTCTGAGTCCTCCAACACCAGACGTTCGTCCATCCTCAAGGAACATGGGCCTGTGGGCTGGCCTAGTGTTCTAACTGGACGTTCGTCTGGCCAAAATGGGTTAGTGGGCCGGACCTCGGCTTGGGCCCTTAACCCAACACAAGTCCCCCACTTCTGATGTTCTGAGCATGCGCAGGACATAAGGAAGTATGACCCTCCCCGAAGTAGACGTCCGTATCTTGGTACTTGTGTTTATTGCACCTGGTGGAAGCGTACGTTCGTGGTCATGGTGCTTGACAGCTGTTGACGGTTCAGGAAACGAGGTGACGGCTGATGTTGCGGCGGCGCATTTTCCCGAGGAAGTGTCATCATTACGTCCCCATCCCACGCACAGCGCGTGGGCCGGAATACGCTCCTTGCCACGTGTCAGCCCCTCGTTGGTTTCTCCATCGGTGCTTCTCCTATAAATGCTGGGTTTTCCCTCTGAATTAGGGTTCCCAATTTCTGCTTTCTTGCTCTCGATTTTTCGCAGCTCCTCAAGTCTCCTGAATTCGGCTGACCCTTTCGTAAGGTAATTTCCCCCTCTGCTTCTTTCCTTTACTCTGATTTCTAGTCGGAATGACTTCGATGGAGATTTCCTCAAGTTCTGATTCCAGTTCGTCGGGTTCCTCATCGGGCTCTTCTTCTGAAAATGCGAATGCACGCTCCCTGGGAAAAGCTAGTGTTTCCGGAACCTCTGGTTCGGCCACGACGGTGGGGACCATCCGGGCTGATGGCGAGCCGGATGATGTGTCTCAAGATAGTGGGAGCGACGCCGGGGACGGGGGTGCTGACGGGGCAGTAGATGTTATTGATGCAGTCCCCCTGAATGAGCGTCCTGCTGACTATGATTCCGGAGAGGAGGCCGAATCCGGTTCTGATGTGGAGGTGTATGATCTGGGCATCCCCACGGATATGGCGCGCCACATCTGCCCGATCAGGAGCGCACTTGACCATGACCAAGTCCTCTCCCGCGTGGCCCTCAATAAAATCCGTACCTTCCTTCCTCCGCCGTTCGTCTGGAGTGTGAGAGGTGCTGAGCATGTGATGAGGAGACGTCCGGGGATGATCATGCTTCACCTGGATTCCGTTGAAGCCGGGCTGCGGTTTCCACTTCATGCGTTCTATGTGGAGTTCTTCCACTGTTTCCAGGTGGCCCCGGCGCAATTCATGCCAAATTCTTACAGATTCATATCGGCCTTCTTGGTGCGCTGCAAACTTGCGGGGGTCGATGCCACTTTGGAGCTCTTCCATTATTTCTACCGCGTCACTCCCCAGAATGCCGACGGGTATCTGAGCGTGGCTGCACGTCCTGGGAGGCGGCTGTTCAAGAACTACCCCTCGTCCATCCACGACTGGAAGAACCGCTTCTTCTTCCTTCGATACGACGGGCCTCCTCTCCCTCTCCGGTGGAATGGGTATCCCCCAAAGATTGAGTCACCGGAGCCGACCGACGATCTGCTTTTGGATGCGGAGAAGGTGTTGGAGGGTGGCGTCCGTCCCATAGCCGGGTTTCTGACCTTCGAGGCACTCTCTGGGGCAGGCATAGGTACCGCCCGTGTCCCTGGACTTTTTCTACCCTTCGACGCTCGTCTCGGGGCACCGGGCGGTCCTGTCCTTCGAGGTGAGTGTCTTATTCTACTTCCCGCTCGTCTTCTAACCCTTTGTTGTTTCTTACAGGTTCACCACCCGATAGAGACCAAATGAATCACGCCGAGTGTCTGAAGACCAGGAAAGCCAAGGCGGCCGCGGCTAAAGCTGCAATGGCGAAAGCCAAAAACGCC